TGAACGTGCTTTAGTTGAACCTTATAAGCTCTGACGGTTAGCAAACGCAGGCAGGCTACTGCTTCGGGTGTTCTGTCTTGTTTTCTTCCCGACGCTTATGAGGTGTTTTGAGGGGGAGGCGCCGTTAACGCGGCAGTGGGGATGTTAGATCCAAACACATTCAAGGTCTGCAGTAATTAGCTCGGAGCACCACGGCAAAAGTTTTAGCCACAGAACGCAATGGCTGGCTCCTCGTTCCAGGGGGAAAAGTGGCTCATTTGGATCCGACGGCCCTGGGTTAGAGCCCCGGAAAAAAGGAATCGCTTTTCTAGTGGTCTTCTGGCTGGTAATCGGAGAGTCATCGTAGCACGGGGCGGCTATCTTGTGGCCTCTCACTACATGAAAAGTGCCCGTCCAATTAGTCTCGTGTGGATAAATAATCGCTGGCAAAATAATCCGTCTCACTGGAATTACACCACTGAGTTACCGATTCCAGGTACGAGTAGCAATCTAGGGCTCACATATGTGTAGTCTGAGGTCAGAGTCACCTATGCAAACCAATAGGGTCATTTTTATATATAAATAAAGCATACAACATGTGGCTGAACTGAATGGATTCCTGAGGTCCGAGCCTAGGCTAAGCAGCGCCCTGCTGTGTAAACCCTGACAGACCGACCATCCGATTGTAAAAGCCCAGCTAAATGGCAGAGGTTTGCGGCAGAACTCTAACGTATTGTAATGCCCGGCTCGGTCCACCCTGCTGATTTTGGGCGGTCACTGACCCAGGCTGCGGGCTTTTCCAGTCAGGTGTAAATAAAGAGCACCTGAATCGACTAGAGCATTGAACCTAACCACCCTGGAGTAGCTGAGTTGAAGCAGGCGCTGTAATTCATTGAGATGCAATGGTGGACAGTCGCTCATTTTACAACCGAATAAATAGCCTCACTGAAATGTAGGGGCCCGTCGGTTTGTGGGCCTTCGTTTAGTGTTTGCCCCTCACTCCATCCCAAATTCGGCTACGCCGACGCGGCACCGTTATGGCTTATTCCGAAACCATTGCGATTAAGCTACATATTTACGTGCAGCTGAGTGGCAATACCCATCGCATGCTTGTTAATGAGCATGGAGACCCTCTTTGGCTGACGGCCGAGGTGATGTTTGAGGGTGAAAGGTACCTCGGAGCCCTGCATGCTGACAAAGCTCAAGGGCCTCTCGAGTCCTATGGCTGGCTTCCCAACTTCCTCAGGAAACACATGTTCCTCGCACCGAGCCCCGGGAGCGGCCGACGGAGCCGCTCGCAGACGCCCCACCGGTGACGCCGGCAGTCCATCCGTCCCGACCCGTGCTCCCATCCACTGCACCCTGCTGTCGCTGACGCCGACGGGCCTGACCCTCAATTCGGCCGGTTCTGACCCCACCCCTCACCTCCTTCTGGCCGTAGGAGCGAGGGAAGTTGTCAAAACTTGGGAGTCGGAGACCTTTGAGGGATTTCTTTTCACGTAGCGCCACAAGCCCAGCGCTAAATTATCTCAGTTTTTGGGAGGTAAACTCGAGCCCCCAAAACCACCAGTAACGCAACGGCTGCTCTGCCCATGCTTGATCATGTCATGCCCGTCCCGGCGTTCTGGCTGTTGTACTGGCGGCGGGCGGCCGGGGAGGGGAGGGGGAGGGGGGGGGGGGGGGGCGTTTGGCCCCCGTCGAAGTGCGGTTCGGGAAGAGTGGTTTAATTTCCTAGACGAATTGGCGCGTAAGCAGGACGGTCCAGCACGCGGGCTGCCAGACCCAGCCGAGCCGAGACCGGAGCCGACAGGGCTGTATTATTGCTGAGTGGTAAATAGAGTAGGTCGAAATACATTAAAAAAAACAAGGGCATCCCATGTTTGCCTGAAAACGTTTATCTTTTTCGGAATGGATTAGGAAGCAATCTACATCAGAGTTTGAACGTGCCCAACCGCAACCTCGGAAGCAAGGACAGTGATGACCTGAGTTGCAGCTTCCGTAAAACCGAACGGCGCCGGCCACTGCAGGTGTCTCCAGACGGCGCGGGCTCTGTTAATCTGTGTTTTGAACAGGTGAAAAGTTACAAAAGCTCGAAAAATAGAGATTCTACCTTTTCTCTTCCAGTTTCACCACCAAATTCCAGCACCACTTCGCGGTGCTTTTAGGACCAATCTGTTCTAAACATCAGGCTCAAAGTCGCACACGTGAAATATGCACCCAGAATGCCTTCTAAATATAAGATTTGATGCCCTGCAGCATTCAAAGGTACTTTTTTTGAAGGTGTCACCATTTTCGTCCACCTATTGGCGACAGCTCAGTATTAACTACAGGGCCGATGCTGTGCGATCTACGGAGACTGCAACGCCTGGCGTCGAGTTTTTTTTTACTAAGATTTGCGAGTGCGCGTGCTCAAAACTACGTCACATAACTTACATAACTGATCGTTTTAATTATTTAGAGGTAATCATCTCAGGAGGGTCATCGCTTCTGTCAAACGGTGGGCCACGGCCAAGAGTAAGGCACTAACCTAACGCTCTCTGGACTGTGGAGACTGCAACGCCAGGCGTCGAAGTTTTTGTTACTAAGATTTGCGAGTGCACATGTAAAAAAAAAACACGCTACGTAAATCGTGTCACAAATCGATGCTGGCTGAATGCTGAACATTGCCAGTCAAACTTGGCTTGGCCATGTTAATACGCGCATTGTTGACCACTCCACGGTGCTTTTAGTCTACAATGAAATTTAAATTAAATTTAGTCTGCTATGCTAATAGTCTACAATTAAATTTTCATCTTCAAATTTCGATCGATCTACAATCTATCTTCGTGATTTCCTTACTGTCGGTAAAACCCAGATAAAAAGTTCTGATAAAACTTCTAACTTTTATCGGCTTGGGAAGGGCTCAGTAAACCATTATAGATTGAGGGTGTCGATGATTTATTCCATGCAGTGTTCAACACCTGATTTCTGCAGTGTATTGATTTCAAAATCTGAACAAAATTAATCTCACTGTAGCTTCTCGTTTCTGTTCTAGTTTCAAGGTAAAAAAGGCAACAAAGCAAAGAGAACCGTGTCCCTTGTTAATGCACAACCTTCATCCAGGGATTTTAGGGGGAGGGTCACCATGAGAAGGGCTTTTGTCAACCCCCTTGGCAAGCCTCTGACTACGCCCCTGTCTACACACAAGGGCAGATCAAGCCGGCTACGTTGAGCGAGAGGCCATTGAATGTCCGTTGGACCAAGCCATACCCAAGGCAGGCAGCTTCCCTCAGGGTGTACGCGAAGATATTCCGGAAAAGATACTGTTGCAGGTGTCCGACACATCTTTTACACACCAATTAGCAATAATGCTCATCCAAGAATATGCAACAAAGCAGCCATGCGACCAGTTCGCAGTAAGTCATGCGGGAGACAGCCGGGCCAGAGCAGTGGCAGCCGACGGCGGACAGTAGCAGAGCCCAAATAAGGAATATGTGATAGATGTGTAGACGGCGCTACCTGTAGGTGGCGGCACCTCCGTAGACGGCGCCAGCACCGTAGGTGGCGTCATAAAAGTTGTAGGCGGCGCCACTGAAAATGCGCCTGCCGCCCAATTCTCTAGATGTCACCGTGCCCTATGCAGAATCAGGTTTCACTTGAAATTTGTCACGTCAACTCCGCCAGCTGTACCTCCTATCATTTCCTGCCGTTTGAATTAGTTCTTCACGCCGAAAGAAATAATTCCACCTCGTAAAGACCTTACATTTGGCGGGTTGTTTCACAATGTCTTATATGCCTTTCGTCAGCGCAACAGACGTCTGCTAACATTCGCTTGATGTCTCACGCCGCGATGCGCACGTAGGACGGCTCAGGCAGTCGCTGCTCCAGTGACTGTCGAATAAACCTTTGCTGTTAAGATACTTGCTCAATTATTAGTGCCCATACGCACAACAGATGGACTCTCATTCTGTGGCTTGGCTTGTGAAGGAGAATCTCCAGCTTCATGGCTTTTGTCATATGTTTTGCAGTTTCAAGCCTCCGAATTGTTTCCCGTCTGCGACTGCGACAAGTCTTATCTCTTAAAATACAGCTAGCGAAATGAAAGCGCATGAAAAATCTGTCGCACTGTGAGCCATCGATTCGCTTTCAAAAATGCTCACCAGCCTATGTCCTGGCCGTATTTTGGCATCTATCCTTTGCAAGTGGATGATTCCTCAATAACCAAAAATGTCTACCCACTCGTGGAATTTCGTCTCCTCAGGAAAGGGAATGTAAAAATGGAGGAAGAATGTTGGGAAGATGGAAAGCCTTATTTGCTGAATGACGTTGGTGAGTTGAATAGGCAAGATTGTGCACCAGTGAGAAACAGCAGCTCTAAATGCCTATCTAGCATAGCAGCCATTACATTTGAATAAAGAGCAATGACAACCTCCATCTCTACCGCGCGCCGCTCCCCGGTCATCGGGCTTACTTTCCAGAAAGAATTACTGAATTACGCTCCGAGCTTGACCCCCACTTTTTGAAACGCTCTTACGCCTTTGAAGCAGATCATGCTCTTTTGTAAATTAAGAGAAAAGTTGCAAGTTGCTCTCGGCACATTTCCAAACCGCCTCCCCATACTCCCCACTGACCAACACACCATCTCGACGACCCTACCGTCCTGCAAGAGCAACTCACTATATATTGGGATCCCAAAAAAACCAAATTTTTCTATTCCCGTAAAACAAAAGCAAATTCGCGAGCTTTTTTCATCCCTAAGTTTACCACATTCCGCTACATGAGCCTTCCTTTTCCTCGATTGTGCTGCTTAGTATCAATGGCTACGAAACTCGGCGCGGTTGACTACCAATCGGTGCTAAAAATATTTCCCCTTTTAGTAACAAAGGGTACTAAACCTCCTCGTGTACGTATTGAAATCCCTATGCTTATGCTGCCAAATCTGGACTAGGCCAAATCTGGGCCTAATCTTGGCTAGCTTCCGCGACATTGTTTTCATTGTTTTCGTTGCCAACCATCTGGCAATCGCTGTGCGCTGCATTTACAGCCGGAGTGCGTGGGGGTAGGGTGTGCGGGTGGTGGGCTCAAGGCTCTTCGGTTGGTGATGCGTCGCAGTGAGCCTTTGTTGTAATGAACAGTTTTTCCGGAAGGTAACGTGTTCAGTTGTGGTCGTTTGGTTTTTGGTAAATGGAATCTGGCCAGCCTTGTTCAGAGGTGTGGAAGTAAACGATCCGTTTGTTCAAAAAGTTCTGCTCCAGCTCCCTGCATACCTCCGTAGGCCCTACCAGCTGCGCACTAAGTGCAACAGTAAGTACATATACACAACCGGAGGGACCCCAACGGTCAACGAATGCACTGAGTTGTCTCAGTCAGACTAAATCAAACCGTAAATCTGTAGCCTAAATTCTGAGCAACACATAATTTCCATTATTGTCTGCTGCGGTTCTGGCAAAAGTTTTTTCAACCCTCAGTGTTTGACATGGAAGAGAATGCAGTTACACTAAATGTTCTCACAGCACATCATGTTGAGGTGTAATTATATGTAAGGCCTCTCTGTTGTTTCATTATTCTGCCACTTGGGTGGCAGAGATGTCAATATTTTGTCATACTATGATACCCCTGGCCTGGGACTCACTGCCTGTTGCCCCTCTCATTGCTTGGGATCAACCAACTGGTACTAACTAGGCAGCAGTCAACCCAGCATCTAAGTGCTTCAGCCCGGACAAATGAGTAGGGCAGGGCAGTTAGCTAGGTTTGGGGCATGAGGGCAGTGGGGGAGTGCCAAGAAATTGTGAGTGGGTGCTGCCAGAGAGCTAGAATTCTAATTGAAAATTATGGTTAAATACCAGACAACCCACTGTCTGCTGAATAAACTTTGAAATGCTTTGTCTGTCTTACCAACCTATTACATAATTCCTTTCTATGGAGAGGGGAAATTAGTCACCATGGCTGAAGAAATATTATTTCCCATGGCCAAATGACACTTTGTTATCAGTCACTTGGCATATAGACATTCTCACTGTTATGTACAGAAACTTCAACTGTGCCCAGATGTTTTAAAGAACATGGACCATGGTAGTCTGTTATGCATTTGCTGGTGCCATATCAGATTTGTGTATCAAAATGGGTGTGCTTGTGGCATTTTGCCACTAAAAGATGTTTTTAATAGCAGCTGTGTGGCATGGCCATTTGTGATAGCATACTTCACCAGAGCTCTTCAATGATCATCAATATTTTCTGTGAGGGTAGAGCTTTGCATCTGTTGAGAAGCAGGGTCTCCTAGCTTATGCTTGACCCAAACCAGTGCCATGCTGAAGTGGCAGCAGCTATTTAAGGTCAGATGAGGGTAGAAGGTAGGACAGACCATGCTGAAGATTTTGACATGCTTAAGTCTTGCCACAAAGTTGTGCTGTTGAACTGAAATTTCAGGACCAAAGTGTTAGCACTTGGTGACTGGGTTATATAGCACTCATGATGACTGGGTTATAGCCTGAAATGCATATAATATACTGATGAAATTTCAAGAGAATCATTTTGCCAAAAAGGCTTATATGTGCTTTCACTGTATTTCAAAATCAGATTTATTGTTATCTGATAGACATGATGAGCTGAATTAGCAATTCATTTCCATCATTTGGAAAGGCTCAGTTAAGGCACCACAGCTGGTGACTTTTTTGTTATGCACAGTATTACTCACTAATAGTTCATGGAGTATTTGATGGGATAGGCACCAAAGGAGCTCTGGAGCTGTGTACCTGTAACTTGTACAGCTGTGTGCTATAGCTACCAGCTATCTGCAACTTGCACAGCTGTGAAAGGCTACATTTTGTGCCTGATTGAAAACCTATGCACTGTCCTTAAAAAAGCTTTTGGCAAATTAATTGACAGATTGTCAGTTACTTCTTCCAGGCATCAGTCCTGATAGTGTGCAAATTCATGCCTGTTGGTAGTGCTCCAGGTTTGGTATGTCAGTGTTCTGCAGTCATCATCATACCCAAACATCTGTGTTATTCCCCTGACCATGCTCTGTTATGATTGGCAGCTGGGGCTGGCTACTGACTGGCTCTGCTCTCCAGCAGGCACGATGGCCGCGGCCGCCAACCCCGAGGATGTGATTGAGTATGCGCCGATGGAGCCTGAAGCTGTACTGCGCTGTCACAGGCGCCGAGTCTCTGAGTTCTCACAGTTCTCTGAGCTAGACAGGTGAGCTGAGCTGCTGCCACACAGTGCCACCAGCTGCATATGTGAGGATGCTGCCATCAGGCACCCATTCTCAGAAAAGAACATTCGTATCGCAAACAGGTGTGAATGCTAAGCCACACACAGTGTGTGGAGCCTGCTCCTGGTCAACATTGTCTTAAGTGCCCCATAATTTATTTATTTTTCTATAAATGAAAATTCTGGGGAACGCCATTGCAGTGTGACGCCCTCCCGTCACTTGCCAGTGCATTGCTTGAAAATTATGCTTTTGATTTTGGGGAAAGGATCTTGTGGACTGTTCATCCATTCTTTTGTCCCATACTGCTCGTAGTACCGAACTACCGAGGTGTCCGAACGGTTCTCTGCCAAGCCAACGTGTATACTAAAAACTTGGGAAATCCGGGTCGGGCATCCACGGCCGTTCGGCCGAATTCGTTAAAGAATGTCGTCTGTGATATCTCACAGGGTTTGCAATGTCCCTCCGAATGTGATCTAGGTCGGTCTTGGTTTATGGGACGATTCTGAAAGCTATGGGGTGCAACAGCTTGCGCCTTTATTCGGTCCCATGCTGTGCAAACGATCTGTGTAGGCTTATTAAGACGAAAACTATCGAAGGTCACTGAAGACCGAGACGTCAGCTTACCGTCTGGGCGATACCAGTTGTTGACATAGTAACGAGCGTTTTTGCTGTCGGTGCCATCTCGAACAAGCTTCTTTTGTTACCAAGTTTGCCATTCTTTGAGCTGAATCATCGTTAATTGTACACAAAACTTGTTGACCTCCGGTCCATATAATGGCAAGGAGCACATTGTGCCAACCGAACTTGCATATTTTGTGTTTCTTGGATTTTTACGTGGTGGACGTGTTCTGTGAATCAGGTCTCCTGCTAAGCGAGGCGTGTTACACAGACTGCTCCGACTGCCCCATTAGAACAATTTTAGTTTGACGGACGATTCCTGATGGGATCGCAACATGCCGCGCACTGTCGTGACACCGCTGCCCCGCGTCAGCTGACTGTCGTGGCCGGTTTCCCCATCAGCGGTCTAACCGGACCACATCAGTTCCGTTTCTGCGATGCGAACCCGTGCGTTTAAAGCGGGGAACTAGCAAATCCTACACTCCTCCAACTGAGGTACTGCGACGACTACATTGGGTTCATTAGCTTCTGGCGGGTTTGCGTTTGGCGTCTTTACGTAGGCTCGGGTATCTCGGCAGTGTGATATTGGTTGGTGGATTGACGCTGCGGGCCCCGCATCATCAGACAAAGACCTGCAGCGTCTTTCTATGCAAGTCACGACGTGGTGGTGTGGAGACCATGTCGCCGTGCGCTGCGCGGATCTGCCGGATGTGGTGGGCGGATGCTGAAGCACCGGCGCATTGCGGTATGGCGCTGACGACCGTCTAATGAATCAAGAACAAAGTGCTGTCTGGGAACAGTCGTCAACGTCAGCAACGCTGAGTGTGAACCTTAAGAATGTCCTTGGGCCCTTGACCGTGGTTAGTGTTTTCAAGTAGCCTGCTTGCCTTGGAAAGCCGTTAGTCGACTCGGTCGGCCAGTCGCGGAAGTTGGAACTGATAAAAATACGTGCCACGGATTCGAACCGTGCGTTAATGGTGCGCACAAACCCATCATGTAAATGTGGGGCGCTGTTTGTTAATACACTTGTTTCGGTAGTGTTGTGGACGTTGAAATTGACTTACACAAACGGATGTTTTCAAAAAGAGTGAATTCGCTTTCAGAACACGGGCTTGGTTTCTAAAAGAAATACTCGGCCAAATAAATGCAGAACAATCATACTAACCTAGTGACATGCTAGGTAGCAGGTCTCACACCTTATTAGTATCATGTTAATTTCGTGCCAAAAATCATTTTCTAGGCATATCATGTTTTGCTGTTTGAACCCGCTCATATGCTTAGTCAGTCTGCAAATGCTGGACAATTTTTTCAGATGATATGACCTGGATTGGGATAAAGAACAATCGACTGCAGTTACCAACAGTTTTTAAAGTGTAGAGTTCGTTACCCACGTGTTCCCCAACCCCAAGTATGCTTGTCTCACAGTCGTGGCTGTGGTGGTTATGCAACACGGTCACTGACCGCGGCAGGAACAGTGATCCCTTACTAAGGTTTACTATGATGGCTTTGTGTGAATTTTACCCCATTCTAAGGGTTCACAAAACGGCAGATCTCATTGACTTGAAATGGGAAGTGATTCCTCCGCAGGCAAGCAATGGAAATTCCTCCGCAGAACAATTGAATCTATGAGATTTTTAACAGTTTTGTTTTTGCTGTAACATGGAGGAAGCCAGTTTAGGTGGCCGAAATCCGGGGAGAAGTCAGTTTTTGGGGATAGGTCAGGTCAATCTGTTCACCTGATCCCTCCGGTAGGTTTTGGGAGGTGGCACCCTTGCCCGACCCTTGTGCATAAGGACCGGTCTGCAAACCATGTCGGATTTTAACAGGATCTTGTTGGGGTAGATGCTTGGCGTAACCTCCTGTTTGGGGAGGCTTGTCAAACTTTGGAGGCAGAAGCTACGAAATTAAATCCGTGACTTGATTCCGTATGCTAGCAAATGGTCTGCACCTTCAATTTTCGTGGGTGGCACATCCCTTCATTCAACCCTCAAAACGACCGGGATTAAAAGTATTTGTCGAGGCGCGCGTCAGCCTTGTTTCGATTAAATAGGAAGGCCAACACGCATGTGCAAAAGTGACACCGTAAACTTGACTCCATGTACATAGAAATGCGGTTTTGGGTAGTTTGAATGAGATTTGATGTGCAGGACAAGGGAGACGTAAAGTAAATCAGTAAATCGACTACTTAGTCGATATACACGCTCCCTTTGCAAGACTCGCCTAGTTTACAGAGTAGTTAGATACTACCGAAACATCAGTCTGGCTACTGTTACTCTGTGGCAATGCCTACAGGAATTTGTCAAGATCTTGAGAAGTCTGCTCTTGAGATCTAGGGATAAATGTATGTTGATTTCATAATGCATCAAGACAAAAGGAAGACAGGAAGATTTCCCACTCTGCACCCTAAAGTAAAAACGATGCTAGGACTCACGACGGAAAACCGGCTAGCCGCAGCCAACCTTGGTTGCACATAGCAACTTTTTTAATCTAAGTTGAACGGTGTTTGTTTTCTGTCACTACGATTAAAAACGGTAAAAACTGGTAAACCTTAATGCGTGGCTGGATATGAATCATGAGCTAAACGTTGATGGGGGCAAAAGTTAACGTTTTCTGCGAAGTGGCAGGAAATACAATGAAGGGAAACATGGGGTTACTTGAATACCAGATAAATAAGGTTATCCGGTAACCTTAAGCGACTGCTGCATTTTTATTTTGCAGAATTCTTGTAAGGAGCATCTCACTTACCATTAAACGAAATGGGGGGGGGGGGGGAAGTAAAACAATATCTCAGGACTTTGGTGAGAAGCGCCTAACCATGGGCGCGTTGATTTCTTCAGTGTTCGTATCCCGCAATAGGAGCCCGACAGGTTCGGCTGACGGGCTTCAACAAGCCAGTGGTTCAGGCTGGGCCAGATACGTCAGCCGGCCGGCCGGTCAGGGTGTTGCGCTTCCGCTGCTCACGCCGCGGTTCAGGTGCTGGCGCGCTGGCGGCTCCATGTCCGCGCCCTCTCTCACCGGGCCAGGTGGACCACACACCTGCACTGCAGCGCGGCGGACGGCTGCCGGGCGGGCCGTGCGATGCGGCGCCGCGCCGCGAAAGTGCGGTCCGTCACACAAGTGTGCTCAGACAGAGGGGCGCTCCCAGGCGTCACGCGGCCTGGGTCCAGCCGGTGACTGCCCCCATAACAATTATGAAACGGGACTCAGGCCGGCCCGGTTCTCATCGACCCCGTAATGGCTCCACAGCGCTTCCGTTGGCAACAGCCTGCAATTATGGGAAAAGCCCAAAGCTGCGCATGTGCAGAAGCGCCACTAGCCCTTTGTGTTACTGCAACGGTGGGGGTCGGGGAAACACATGAAAATAAGTCCCTGATGGTGTATCGCATGCTGGAGACGCGCCGCATGTATATTCGAAGCTGAATCAGGTAGACGTAAATGAGCTTAAACACTGACATTTTTACCAAGATGTCAACGCTCGTTTCAAGGGTGTTGGTTTCTATTTAGTGAAGAGGGTCTCCCGCAGATTGGGTCCAGTCCCCGCAACTTTGGGATAACATTGGGCCAAATCCGGGAGAAATCGGTTTGGTTTTTTCTGCGTTTTTTTGTGCGCTGTCATTTTTCGCTGCCCAGCTTCCCCAACTCATTTAGCGAAACCACGTCCCCGACTTGTTTATGTGTGGAGGAAATGCACAGAAGCTTGGGCAGAGAAAATTTAGCTTATTTCCGAGTGAATTTAAAGCATCGGATGCCTTTCTGCGCTCAATACCGGTCTATGTTGCTCGAGTACCTGTATTTTTGTCGTTGATTCTGTCAGTTCTTTGCTTATCACCCTGATGTTGCCAATTATCATTAAGTTAGCGTGCGGTAGGCACGATATGATTATTGCCGTTCAGCCGTTCTCCTCATAAAATCAGATTTCCAGCATCCCGCGTCATAGAAACACCCTCTCACTCGTTTGTATCGCCTGGTTCTCTGCTTCCGCTTCCCAATGTGGAAAGAGGAACAAAGCTCCGCATTTTTAACAGCTTAAGAAAACAAGCCAGCATTTGTACGTATTAGACATGGCCAAAGCTGTAATCTCGTGGCCGTGGCAACAGACACCTTTCCGAGCCCCTGCCCAATCCTATCGGTGTATTTAAAGGATCTTCTGTGCCCAGCCCCTTCCAGATACTAGCCAACGGCATGACCCTGTGCTGCTTATTGGTGTTTTTCGGCGCGTCGACTGGCCCTGACGCGCACGTGTTCCAGTAGGCTGATGATACCAGTTTTGATGTCTGGAAAAAGACACCCTCCCACAGCTCACTGTTACTGTGGAATAGACACTTGAGTCTTTGGATGTCTGGTTCCACTCCACGGTCTGAAGGTA